GCGGGACTCGATCCCGGGACTCCAGGATCATGACCTGAGCTGAAGGCAGTCGCCCAACCAACTGAGCTACCCAGGCGCCCCGAGTTGGCTTGTTTCTGCTAAGACTTTTACTGCTGGGAGTGTGGTAGGCAGGAAGGAGCACTGTAGAGTGAATCACAGAACCCGAGTGCTATCTAGCTCTATGACTTTGGCCAAGTCTCTTGCTCCTTCTGAGTTTCTGTTTCCTCGTTTGTAAAATGTCACAGTTGGACTAGGGGGTCTCGAAAGCTTTCCGCACCCTGACATTCTCTGCCTGCTTTGTTCAGCACCCGGCCCCTGCAAGGCTTATCTCCATCTAGCTCAGCCCAAGCCCTGGAGGAGTTGTTTCCCCGCTATGCCAGTCTTCGGCCGGGGCCCCCCCTCAATCCCCCGGATTTCCAGGGCCTGAGAGATGCACTGGATTCCGAACACACCCGTCGCAAGGTGAGTCACCAAGGCTTCCGTTTGAAAGCAGCAAAGATTAGAAATAGGCTGGGTGCTGGGAAGGGCTGAGGGTTGAGGGCCTGCAAGCTGAGACTTTGCTCAGATGGCTCTTCAGGGAGGTCGAGTTTGACCATCCCGTCTACGATGCACACCTCTCCTCCGGGTGGGCATTCCGGCCCCTCGGGTGATAGCTTATCATAGTCTGATATATCCTGTCTGCTTCTCCCCTCTAAAATCTAAGCTCTATGCGGGTCGGACCTTATCTTGTTCATCACTGTCCAGAACGTGCCTGACACAAGGAAGTGTTCCAGAAGCGTGCGGTGAATGAACAGCACACCTTGCTGGCTTGTGTGAAGGCTTTATGGCTCCTGGTGATACACCGGACTTTATTTCTGCAAACCTCAGCTTATCTGAAGGGGGCAGAGAGGTGGACTAGGCAGGGGAAAGGCTACGGTCATTGGTTGTGTTGTTATTTTTGGAACCATCTCTTCGTCTGTTTGAAGCTGCCTGGGCCTGAATGAAAGGCTTTCTCCTTTCTCCTTGCCATGTTCTCCTTGCCAACCTTCACTGTGCCCAGTGAGCTGCTTAGGCACGAGTCACCTCCCACTCTGTGAAGTGTGGGCTGTTGGTCTCCTGCCAGAAGGTTCGTGGAAATTTCTCCCTGGAGATCCAGGAAATGGAATAGCCTGGAAGCTAAGCCCCTGTCTCCTGAGCTGGTAGAGGTCTTGGGCCTCAAGATTCCTGCTCCCGAGTTCCTGATCCTTCTTCTCCAGACCTCTTCTGTTCTTGGGACCTGGGCTCCCCTGTCTCCAGCCCATTTTCGCCAAGAGGCGCTGGGAAATTTGATGCTGTGGTCAAATTAGGGATAGTAACACCCAGACTTGTCCTCCTCCTTCCCAGCATTGTGAACGCCATATTCAGACCCTACAGACCCGGGTGCTAGAGCTTCAGCAGCAGTTAGTTGTGGCTGTGACTGCTGACCGCAAGAAAGATATCATGATCGAACAGTTGGACAAGGTGCCAGGGTAGCAGAATGCGGGTGGGTCTCTCGTGGGGGGTGCCAAGGAATAGTGAAAAGGGGATGGCCAACCAGCGGTTCTTTGTTCACACTAGGAGCTGGGGGTGGGAGGGTTCCCGACTCCTGGGAAAAGGTGGCTGTTGACCCCACCCCTGCGGGCAGAAAGAGGGCAAAAAAATTACTTTGAAATTCCATTTGACTTTCCTCTCCTGAGACCCTGGCCCGAGTGGTGGAGGGCTGGAACCGTCACGAGGCTGAGCGGGCAGAGGTGCTTCGGGGGCTCCAGGAGGAACGCCAGGCAGCCGAACTTACCAGAAGCAAGCAGCAGGAGGTGGGCCTGGATCGGACGGCATGAGAGCCTAGGGCACAGATCGATAGAGGGAAGGGAGTCCAGATAGCTCCGGATCTGGGTCCCTAACAGATTGAGCTCAGTCTTGAGGAGTCACCGGCCTGGCCGTTCTTTTCCCCGTTCCCCCACACTTCACTGTTTTTGCTGCCAGACTTGCATCATCCATGTCTTCCCAGATTTCCCCACACCACGTAGTCTTCTCTTAGGCCCCCAAGTCACTGAGTTAGGTCTCACTTTTAGTTTGTTATCACTGAAGCTTTCTGAAGTATAACCTGTAGGGATTCCCCTCTGTTTCTCTGTCCTGTGTTCCCCTGTCCCTGAAAGACAGTGACCCACCTGGAGCAAAGCCTTTCCGAGGCCATGGAGGCCCTGAATCGTGAGCAGGAAAGTGCCAGACTGCAGCAACGGGAAAGAGAGACACTGGTGAGAATGCCGGGCTCGGTCCATTCCATTAGAGGCTGCTAACTAATTCAGGGGCTGTGGGCCAACGGTGGGTTGTGGGAGCCGCACCAGGGGAGTGTTTCCTCAAATGTGTCCCTTAGAACACTCGTTCTACTAGATCCTCTGCAGACGGGGCTCGGCCGCCAAGTTGGCTCGAGAGACTCTGCAAATCATTGCCTCGTTAGAATCATGGATCATAGAAGGGCGGGGAGGGGCGCCTGGGTGGCTCAGTCATTAAGGTCATGATCCGGAGTCCTGGGATGGAGCCCCGCATCGGACTCCCTGCTCAGCAGGAAGCCTGCTTCTCCCTCTCCCACTCCCCCTGCTTGTGTACCCTCTCTGGCTGTCTCTCTCTCTCTCTCTATCAAATAAATAAAATCTTTAAAAAAAAAAAAAAAGAATCATCGGGGGGATTGTTTTACAATGTAGACTTCTGGGACCCGTCGCCAGGGGTTTTGATTTGGTAGATATATTGAGCTGGGGAGCTGAAATATTTTCAGCAGTTTCCTAGGTGATTTTGTTCAGCCAGGTTTGGGATCTCTGGTCTAGGGCAGAGCCAGAAAAGGTATGGGATGAGACTTAATCGGGTTTCTTATTGCTGGAATGATAAGATGATTACTCATATGAATTAGCAGCCAGGTCTGGAACTCAGTTGTGTGCATGATGCGTGCTTGCGACATGCGTGCTGTTACTTGTCATCTTCACAGGCTTTTTTTTTTTTTTTTTAAGATTTTATTTATTTGCGAGAGACAGAATGAGAGACAGAGAACATGAGAGGGAGGAGGGTCAGAGGGAGAAGCAGACTCCCTGCTGAGCAGGGAGCCCGATGCGGGACTCGATCCTGGGAC